CTAATATCCAAGAACGCAACAAACAATTAAAACAAACCAAACATGATTTTCAATGANTTGTCATAGTACCATATCAATTTGTATTGTATNTNTNTTTTTGNNTTAGTATGTACGTAAACTTTTATGTTTCACTTTTATGGTTAGGCTCACATTCACATCTATTATATACGTTGTATAATTAATCTAACTTGATGATATTTTTTTGTTCTGTTTGCGATTGATAAATTGAAAAGAATTTGTTGTTTTTTTTTNGTCAGAGAATTTGTTGTTTAATTTGGTTAGTGATATAAGTTATATGTTTTGTATTTATTATATAAACGTAAAAATATTGGTCGATAGAAATGATGTATTAATGGATTTTTCCGTTTGACTAACTTGCTTTATTCATATTTTAAATAAATATAGATTGAAATCAAACATATATTCATGGTTAAAGACAAATCTTTATTAAATTTTGTAACAAAAACTCAAATCATTAATAAGAAGAACACATAAAACACTAAATTTAAAATCATTTAGTCAAAACTAAAATTTAGACGGGCCAAATGGGCTAATCCGCGTCCAAATGGGCCAACCCGTAACGGACCAAAAAAAATTTCAACCCATACGGGTTGGCCCGTCACGGATTGCGGGTTCTAAATGTGTGTCCAAGCCCAGTCCATTGCGGTCTTACTTGGGTTTAGCCCGCGGGCCACATCCCATGTTGACATCTCTACGTACCCTGCACACATGGATTCATAGAATCCAGATAATCCTGCACTTCAATCCTTCTCGCAGAATCACCAATTTTCGGGACCAACTTCTGAAGCTCTCGTCGTTGCTTCTTCAAGTCGTCAAACCTAATCCTGAGAATATGTTCCAACTCTCCTGATGGAAAAAAAAAAAACACAAAACATTTTCAGTTTTCTTTTCTTTTTTTTTAAAGACAAGTAATCCAAAAAAAACAAAAGACATTTTCAGGAGTATTACCAGGAGTATTACCAACCGGAGCATTACCAACCGAAGTACCCTCTTCCCTCACAGGCTCTTCCCCAAGTGTAGTTCCAACAGCAGAAGTATTACCAACCGAAGTACCCTCTTCCCTCACAGGCTCTTCCCCAAGTGTAGTCTCTTCCCTCACAGGCTCTTCCCCAAGTGTAGTTCCAACAGCAGAAGCAGAAGTATTACCCTCAGACCGCTCCATATTCTCTTCCTTCTTAGACTGCTCCATCATGTGCATCTTAAAGGCTACACAAAATCAGTTTATAAAGAAGATCAAAAACCCTAGAGACGGTTATAGTAAACATATCTTATAAGATATGTTAATTAGATTTACAAAATTTGTAAATATCCTAAATTAAATTTGATCATTATTATTCAGAATCATAATTTACCCAT